GATATGAGTACCATTCCTCTTCAGTTAAGCTCCTCTGATGTCAGGTGGAAGGGTCTGAGTCCTGCTTCCAGGCATTCCCCAGCCTTCTGGGTGAGGTGTTTGCGAAGTTAAATTCTTCTAGGAGCGTCTCTTCCAGCCTTGGATTTTCACTACTTCTCTGTTAAGTCTGTTTTACGTTGTTGCTTGGGCATCTCATTTATCTATGGATGCCTTGCTGTGGGTTGGCTCTCAGGTCACTTGCCAAGGCCTGAGTGTTAAAGGCTGGGTCCTCAGGGAGGTGCTGTTATAGGTGGTACAAGCTTTAGGGAGTAAGGTTTCCTATGAGGTCAGTGGATCCTGTCCTTGAGGCCCACAGTGGGATTTCCCTTCTTTCTCCTGTTTTGCCTCCAAGTCATGAATGAAGGGTTTTGCTCTGCCCCACTGTCCCATCATGAGGACAGTGAATATGGTGGCCCCATATTCAAAACCCATATTCTGTTTACTTGACCATGGACTGACACCTCCAAACCGAGAGCCAAAGCAAACCTTTTGTGTCTGTTAAGTTAGTTTATCTCAGGCATTTGCTACCATAATGAAAAGCTGACTGATCCAATCTATGTAAGTCTGCTTACATTTATTGACATCTTTTCTAGAGGTGACAAAATGGGAGAGTTGTCATTGCTTATGATGCTGATCTTTTACCTTCCTATAACGTAGAGGAAAGAAGGAACTACATTGGTTCCCAGGTTCTTTTTGGTTGGTGGGCGACATCAGTGAATTACTGTGAGTTGGTTGGCAGGAGGGCATTGGGATGTGATGAATGTTTTCCCAAGTTTGCTTTAATGCTATTGGAAGCTCCTTTGGTGGTGACTTTTTCACCTCTAACAGTGGGCCTATAGATTTGTCAACTTTATTGGGTTCTTTTTTTATGGTTAATCATGGATAGTTGACCATTTTTCTTTTTTTTTCTTTCATTTTTCCAGTACTGGGTATTGAACATATGGTCTTCACACTCAGCTATATACTCCAGCATCTTTTTCAATTTTTTATTTTAAGATAGTTTTGCTAAGTCAACCAGGCTGGGATTGAACTTGTGATCCTCCTGCCTCAGCCTCCCAGAGTGCTGGCAGATATTTATCCTCTAAAAATGGCGTTAATGGGTCTCTAATGTGAAGTTGAAATTGCCACTGCTGAAAAGGTCTTGATCTCTCTCAAATTCCCTGGGACTCTGGGTCAGTTCCCAGAGCCTGGGAGTTCTTTGCATATCTTCAAACCTGCACGCAACACTTTTGGCTTCCAGACATCTGTCTTTATTGCAAAGCTGCCTGCCCTCCTCAATTGCAAACAGTGGGGAAGGGATCTGTATTGGTGGCCTATTGTTCTAGCCTGGCTGACCCTGAAAGACATTTGTAACATATTTTTTAAGTTTTAGGTTTTAAAGTGAGTATTTACAAGGTCAGCTGTTTAATGTTTTTGTCACTAATTAGACTAATCCCTTACAGTCTGCCTCTCCTTTGTGTTTTAAGTTTATTGTGATCTATACAACACACAAAAATATATAAAGTGTTTACTATGGTAAAAAAAAATGTAATAACTAATTAAGCAACTGCGTTATTGAGTTCCTCTTGGCCAGGGTCAGTTCAACCACATGGTCCTCTCTTCCCTTCTTCCTTTTGTGTGGAAGCTCCCTGGGCCCTGCCTTCTGGGAACCAGTAATTAAAGGCCTTTGTTCCCAGTGGGTCTCTGTTCCCCAGGTCCACTTCCCCCAGTGATGAATTGGAACCAGCAAAGGATCCAGGGGTTTATTCTCCTCTCCCCTTAGGGGCCTTGCGGTCTCTGTTGGATTTTAGGCCTTGAATTTGCAGAAATCTTCACTCACCAGCTGCACTGGGTGGTCGGGGCTGCCTGCTTTGCTCCAAGTGGTATGGCGCACTGGGGAAGGGAAAAAATTATCCACCAGCTGGGCTTCACTGAGATCCACCCTGGGTTACAGGATTCCTGGAAAGATGATGTCCAGAACCAACTCCATGGTCTCTGCAGGTCTAGCTGGGTTCTGATGTGCCATCGCCATCTGGTTTTCCCTGGGGATGTTTACATGCAACTGTTGTATGAAATCAGTCTACCATGCAGACTCATCTTACTGAGAAAATGTGTACAGATGATTTAACTTAATGACTTAGTTCAATTGAATGACTTCCAGTAGCATAGTAATGTGTTTTGAGAAGGAGAGAGAGAGAGAGAGAGAGAGAGAGAGAGAGAGAGAGAGCGCTGGTTTCCCATCTCGTTCGAATCATTTTCCATTCCTCAGGGGGAGAAAGGAAAGTCTGAGAATCCAGCAGAATTAATGCAGGTTACCCATTACTTCATTTTATAATGTTTGGCAAGGAGAACATGTTAAGTCAGTTAAATCTGTTTATTTGGCTCTTCCAAGCATTCCATGTGCATGGGGCCTGGGTTGGAGGGACAGTGAAATATATTTCTGCTGAGATGCCTTCCTGGAGAGAAACAGGTCTGTTTTATATGCAGGGCTGGCAGCACCTGGATTCGAACTCGGTTACCAGGGACCTGAGGGTTGAACATCCTGCAGATAAGGGACCTGAAGAGACACTTTCTGACCCCAGACTGTGATGGAAAATCTGTTTGTGGTCACCTGGGTTTAATTCCTGCTCTGCTGTTTGCCAGCAGTGACTTCGGGCAAGTCATGAAATCACTCTGGGCATCCTGAGGAGAATTCTCGGCTTCAGAGGGTTGCTGCAAGAACCTCATGAAACAGCAGATGGGAAAGCGCCTCCCGATCCGTGAGATCGTATAACCATGCACTGTAAAAATGATTCTGACTGCCCGGCAGGAAAGCGTGCTTTCCACTAACACACGTTAGCAAGGAGAATAGAGGATTCATGGAGTATCTGGATTCTTTGAAGAAAAACATCATCCCTTAGACCTGTTCCAAATGCCCCAGCCTTTATTTGTTTGTTAGTTTATTTATTCATTTGTATACTTACTACATAGTGCTGGCTGGCCTGGAACTCACAGTGACCCTCCTGCCTCAGCCTGCTGGGATGACAGGTCTGCACCACCAAGCCCTGCCTGCCTCGGCCTCATGAAGAGTGGGAATTACAGGGCTGCATCACCTTGCTGGTTCAAAATGTGTCTTGGCAGCAGGAGGGGAGAGAGTGGGGGCTGCAGGGTCAGATGAGGATCTCAACACTCATGGCCTTGACATCAGGTGGCCACGACCTGGCCAGACCGTGTCATGCACTCACCTGTGTCACCTCACTGCTGCTCCACAACCGTCAGCTGCTCCCGTTAGCATCTGCACTTTGGGGAAGGGAACCATAGCAGTGTAAATAGCACAGTGAGAACATAGCAGTCAGGGTTCGCGCTCAGCACTGACTCACTTTAGAATTCACACCCATAACCTTTCTTCTTTAATCAAGGGAGAGAAACAGGCAAGGATTTCCTTTCTCTCTCTGGAAGTCTCTGCATAGGAACTTTCTTTGCTTTTATAAGCTATTGAAAATTATCCTTCTCATAATGGATGTATCATTCTGTACATGCAAACATGTACTAAAAAAGAGTAACTCCAGAATCCCTTAAGGTCACGCAGAAAAATACAGATTGAAAGGGAGAAGGGCATTGTGCCATGTGGCTGTACTGATTGCCGCCTGTAATGAGCTGGGAGCAGCTGGTCCTCCAGAGGGCCGGGGCTTGGCAGGTGAGCTGGCAGGGCAGCTGGTGAAAGGTGGACTTCTGTTCCCTTGGGGAGGAGCCACTGTATTTTTGGTTTTTAAGGATTTCCTTCAGCATGTAATACTCAGGACCTTGTGCAAAATTGAGAAACAGAGAGACATAGAGAGACAGACAGACAGGCAGACCGGCAGACAGGCAGACAGGCAGACAGGTAGACAGGCAGACACAGAGAGAAATGGAGAGCTGTGAAAGCAACAGAAATGAGAATAAAGGACTCCTCTAAAACCACAGCTGTGATTTCGTGGCTCTGAGGACCTCTGCAGATGTGCTCTGAAAGTGATGGCCTGCCTGTTGGCTCTGCTGGGCAGGTGCCCCGACTCTCAGCTCTGTGAATTTGCAAGTAGCTCAGCTCCCACCGACCGCCTGATCAAATCCAAACGTCTGCTGGATTCGATGCAAACCTGGAGGATGCGGCAGATGTATGGCAGGGAAATGAAGCTATCTGTGTTTTCAGGCAGGACCTTTTCTCCTTAGTGATTTTGTCTTCTTTTTCTCATAGTTGTGTTTATAAACAAACATTATAGCCTTGACAAAACTGATGGAGAAGGATTACCTAACACAACACGATGATGTATCTCTGCCTACAACTTTAATTATATATTTTCTTTCCATTTTCATTTTCTGTCTCCCTCCCACACACACTGGGAACATAAAAGTGGGAACTTCTGAAGCATGGCCTTTGGCAACCAGGAGCTGCTTTATACACACACACACACACACACACACACACACACACACACACACACACACCTGGATCACTGGGAGTTTAACGGGGAAAGGCATGATGCCCAGAGGTGAGGTCTTACCTAGTGCCGAGTGGAATCAATCCCATCATCAGGAAGAGGTGAAGAATAGAATAGAATCCTTGGTGCTAGTTCATCAGTGAGTGGGGAAGACCTGGGATGGACACAAGCATTTCAGAGAGTACTTGGTGTGGAAAAACGGGATCACGGATCCTAGCTCTTAATGAGATTCTTGTCCAAGTAGTTGATACTCATCCTTGGTGAAGGAGAGACTGTCCCAGCTTTCACCTTTTACCCGTGTCATGGATGAGTCCCCTTTCTGGAGGAGGAGGTCCTTCCAGGGGCTCTGTATGGCCAATATATGTGATGACCCTCATCCTAAAGATCAGATGGACAGAGCCCTTTTTGCTTGTCTACTTAGCAACTGTTTGAACTGGTCAGTTAAACTGACCAAGCCTAGTTTTCTGTCCTGGCTACTTCCTAGAATTGTTGTAGGCAGAAACAAGTCGCTGAAAAGACTCTCAAAATCTATAAAGCACTATGTGACTTCAAGATATCTCTCACACTTTGATTTTGTTTCTAATTTTAGGAGGGAGAGGTCTCTGCTGGTAAATGGAAGCTGAAATGGAGAAGGTACATTTTCATTTGGTTCCGACATCATTCATGGTAAGACCATATATACTGAGTTCTTTGATGTTGTGTGAACCATTTTTGATTATGTGGAATGTACTGGTATAGCAAAAAAGATATCTCATACTAGAAGGAGGCATCAGTTATAATTAAACAAATTGGAAGCAGACATATTTTGCAACTACATTATAGCAAGTGTTATTGGCAAACTTTTTAAATTGATGGGGGTAATGATTAAAAGTCAAATTAAGCCTGTTTTGCATTAGTATTTATGCAATTATTCTATTTATTTAAAATTACAAAGTTTTAATGACTAAATTAATTTAATGGTGATAATTAATTATAATTACTTAGAGTTATATAATATGCTCTACTCACTCAACTTACTTCTTCGCTGGGCATAGAGAATAATTATTTCTGTTTTAATTCATGATGCTTGAAACTTTTCTCTATTTAAATACATTATAATTCATAGTACCTGGTAAATATTTAAAGCTTTTTACAGATGCTGCTTAATTTGCTATTTTGATAATATGAAGCTATTGTGTTTTGTGGGAGCTGGGACTCTGGTAGGTGTGATAGCCCTGAACCAAATTCTGAAGACACTATTAAATCACATTTTTGCATCACTCAATTTCTGTGGCCTCTGACATTTAGCAGGAGGCTTGGTGTGGATTTGTTGAATGAATGAGTCCAGGGTAACCCTGATTATCCTATGAAGATTCCCCTCCTTTGAGGCTCTTGGGAGAAGTGTCTTTGTGATCAAACAGCAATGGTTCTCTGAAGCAGGAGGTTTGCTCATTCTCTGTGCACACCATTGTTAGCTTTCTTCCTTATCATTATTTCCCTGTCTTTGTTGGATGCTAGAAAACTGTACAACAGATTGTGGGTGACCCTTGGTGGATGTGCAGACCCTCATGGTATACCTTTTGTGCATTGGCCTATTTCCCACCTAACAATTTATACCACTTTCTGTACTTCTTTATTATCCTTTTTTATCGTATTACATATTTGATGTCACCTTTGCTATTACTGCAGATCCGTTTGGCAGCAAGGCAGGTTATAAAAAATAGTAGTCATCTTAACTGCTGTAATGTATTGGAGACACCCTTATTTTTAAATTTTCATGGTGAAGCAAGGATAAGAAACAATGCTGGTAATGAGGTTCTTGGGTTCTGTCAATGAAAGATCCTATGAGTACATTGAAACTGGACTTTTGATTGTCCTTTTAATGTCAAGAAGCTGTGTGAGAAGTGAGAAAATCATTCAAATAGCATCTTATCAAAAAGATGGCTTGGCTTCTCTTTTGATCTGCCTCGTCTTGCTTTCAATATGTAGCTAAGGTTAGATTCATCTATGGTCCCACATCCATTTTTGCTTTGTTCCCCGGAAGGTTGCAGAAATGTCAGTGAGTGGAGAACGTACTTCCCACGCTGAGGTCTCTGTCCAGCCTATACCTTCTCAGGCATTCTTTGGCCATGCTCCCTCACTCTTGGGGTTCCTAATTGAACCTTAGAAATAGTTCTAGCCATAACTTTCACAGAGCTTAAGCAGCTAGGTTCCTAGCTCCAGCAGATGTGGAAGTGACCTCTTGCCTTCCCTTTCTAGTTTTGAAACTTTTGTGACCCCCTCTGCTGGGGACAGGGGGCGTTGTTTATATGTGAAGCCCCATTTTCAGTTATCCTCATGATTATGTGACTTTCGGTATGTGCTATGTCCTCACCCTTGGCCAAGACAAATATGTTATCACATTGGACCTTCCTTAGCATAAGAATGACTTTGGAAGGCTGCGAGATTTTCTAATAAACAATAATGAAGGAAATGAGAGCACCTGCAAAAGGAAGGAAAGCCTCTGACTGCAGATTAGGAGATAAGGCCTAACAAAGCCATCCGCGTTCTTGTGAATCGGTGGTTCCGTCCAAGAATGCAGAATGCTGTGATCACTTGTGTGGAATGCTTGCCCTGGAGTGCTTGTTCCAACACAAGCTGTCCTGGCTGGCCAACCCGGGAGAGTTGTCAGAGCCAATGTCACTCAATGGACCCCCACTCAGGAGGCCGGGGAAGGCCACCTCCTGGCACCAATGAGCCTGAGATTGACCCTTAATGCTAACAACTACCGTACTCCCTCTCTCTTAGTGCTTTGCCCCTGCTCCTCCAGCTCTAACTAACTCTAAGCCGGTCTTACAGCCATCACCTTGCCATTTAGAGGCCTGTTTCTGTAGCTAGTACCTGGCAGGGAAGAGAGAGGCTCTTTTACTCTTTGGTCTGAAGGTAATCTTCCAGTTTTTATTAGCTGAGTTTCCATCCTCTGAAAATAATCCAGCTGAACCAGAGAGTCTCCAAGTCCTGTAGCTTTGATTTGTTTTATAGCATTAATTGCTTCCCTGTCACCAAAAAGTACTCAAACTTATTTTGAAATCTAATCTTAACTCTTCTAGATTTTGTTTTCTTCTTCAACTCTCTAAAGAAATCACAGTCTCTGGGTTCAGACCACCCGGGTTCAAATTCTTTCTTTCTGAGTTGCTACTGGGAAGACCTGTATTCAGTTTCTTCATCTGAGGGGCAGGGGGGCAATACTGGTCACGTCTGTTCCCAGGTTTGTTGTGGGGATCACATGAGAAAACATGTTTCTACCACCTCCTCTTTCCCCTTCTCATCTATTTTCCTTCTTCTGCCTCTTTGCCTGCCCCCCATCTCCCTTCACTTCCTGTCTCCCTCATCTTCCCCTTCTTCTCAAGTCCACTGTGCTGCGGGTGAAGCAGAATCCAAAGGGGCTCAGTAGCCAGTTGCTAGATGGAGCATTTGAGTTCCTATTGCCCCATGCATTTCTACCTCCTGTCACAACCTGTTGGGAAACAGGCCCAGGGGACCCAGGTCCTTGGCTACCAGAGCACTCTGCCACTTCCACAGGTAACTAAGATCCCAGGTGTGTGCAACTGTGAGGAGCAGATGAGCAGTTCTCTACTTGCTTTTCCTTTGAAAGCGAATGTAACCACATTTGGTCTCATAGAAAGTCAGTCTAGGTTGCAGTAATAGCCATACCTTAGTTTGGGAAGTTTCCTTAAACACACATAGCCTCAAGGTCTTTAGGTTCTTAGAGTGATCTTCCCTTTGAGACTACGACTATCATGATTACTCATGATTGGGGGAGGGGGCCAGGGGGATGGGCAGGTAGAAAAAAAACAAAAGAAAGGAAAAATTAAAGTTTGCATAAACAAGGTGGCTGGTGTGATTTGAGGATGGTTTGATAAGGAATTTATGGTTCAATTTTAGGAAAGGATTTTTGTTTGTTTGTTTTAAAACTAAAAATGCTGACATACACCAACTGTCCAGGAGGAATGCGATCATTACGTAATAAAACGTGTACTAATAAAAAAATGAAAATTAAGAAAAGGTAACTCAACCCTGGCTATTGTATCCTGAACTTCTATTATTATGAAGCTGTGATGGAGGAGCTACACATACAGGAACGGTGGTGGACATGGGGCAGACTCCACACACAGTCAGGACCACAGGTTTGTACCTTGAGTACTTGGTCTTGCCAATCACAGAGATGCCCTAACACGCTGCACAGAGAAGAGCTTGGGGCAGTGGAGCTTTACAATGCTACACATCTCAGGTAGGAAGAAAAGGAGCCAAGAATGTCCAGGTACAGTGTGACATACTGAAAGGAGAGGAAAATAATGAGCATTCTGCCGTTGGGATAAGCTGGGGAGTGGCCTGGGGAAGACAGAGTAGAGGAGACGGGGCTGCTGATGTGAGTAGGGGGAAGAAGAAATTGCAGTGTGGTGGGGACTCTGGACCATACGTGAGCATTAACTCTTTGAGAGATGGAGTCACGTGAAATAGCATTGAACCATCCCTGTTAACGTTTAACCTCTACTGAGGTGGAGTCCAGTAATTCAGCCGGGCAAGCTGTTGAGTGCAAAGAGTTTTCTAGGTTTCCCACACACTGTTTCTGTCTTAAGCTATTGATATTTGCAAAGAAAAGAAAAAAATAATCCTTCACTTAAGTGTATGGAAGTAGCCTTGCTTGTATTTAATTTACTTCTCTTGGTAAAAAATTCTTTTAGAAAAATTTAAGAGGCTCCAAAGGACACCTTTGCTTTGAAAATTGTTATGCATGGCGATGATATTAAGTCAAAAGGATAAAGCAAAATTTGGTTGTTTTTACTTGTACAAGCTCAAATTTGAAGCATCCCTATGTCTTCTTTTGTATAAATTAAGATGTGTTGCAAAAGGTTTTCACTTTCCAAAGACCTGTGTGTGTGGTGCATGTGTGTGTGTGTGTGCATGTGCGTGCGTGTGTGTATGTGTGTGTGTGTATGTGTGTGTGTGTGTGTGTGCGATAATCTAGCTGTTACGTATCCACAGCTTTCTGGAGGAGCTCGGTGAGGATCTGCAGAAGGAATGGTGCATCAAGCTGCCCTCTTGCCTTCCCTCAGTGGTCACTTCTACTTCCTACATCAAACTGAACACTCATTTCTGTTGATTTCACCTTCTGGTATCTTCTTTGTGTTGAGTCTAGGGCCCTAGCTTGATGCCCTCCCTGCTCTACTCAGTCCACTCTTGCTTCTTTAATCTGTTGGCCGAATTCCTGCCATAATAATCTTGTTCCCCTGAACTGTAGTGGAAACTCCTGGGCTGTTTCCCAGGGCCCGAAGGATAAGGTCCACTCAGAGCCTGCTACACGTTGTCCACTGCTGCAGAGCCCACACCCTGCCGGCTAAGCTGCCGCTGCGACATCATCTTTGCATCCACCAAGTAAGTTCTTAGCCTTCAAGGCCCAGCATGAGCGTTATCCTTGGTCAGCGAGCTGCTGTTTCTGTTTTTATCTCCGTTTTGCCTGTCCTCACCCGAGTGAGCTGTATGCTCCGGGAGAACCCAACACAGTTGTTTACTCATGAAATCCTTAGACCTCTTGGGGGACATGGTGCACCTCTCAGTGACCCAGAAGTGAAAGAACGGAAGCAATGGTAGGAGGCTTCTTGCACTCCATTCCAGCACTTTGATCACCATCCATTTGGGCCCATGGG